AGAGATTGTTTATTATAAGGGATTAGAAAATACCATGAGGGGAAATAGTATTTTCTAATTCTACCTCTATGGGTTTGTTTAATTCCAGGTGACAAATAATTTCTCCTGCTAAAAAGTTTTTTTTTAATAATTTTTCCCAGTCACAATCCTAGTTCATATCACTTATTTTTGTTGCTTCGTATGAAACGATACATGACAGGGCAAGCACTGATATTTCCATCGCTAGAAACAAAGAGGCACTATTTTTTAATTTCCAGCAGCCTCAATAATCAATGAAAAGTCTCCCGGTCAACCACTGAACTACCAGCAAATCTTCATCTTCTTCGTATATAGATGAAGCCCATCTCTGACTTCGCTCATACATATCAATATGGCTGTTTCGTCCAACCTACATGTTCATCATCTTCTTCTTCTCTTATCTGTGTCTTTTCGATTTTGTTCATCTTTCTCACCATCACTTGACGGTGGCTTCTCCCTCTCGGTGGAGAAACCAGAAGATGTTATTCTGTCACAAAACAGCCTCTTCTCTGCCGGCTTCTACCCCGTCGGTGAAAACGCCTATGTCTTCTCTGTTTGGTTCACCCAAAACCCTACCCTGGTTTGGACCGCAAACCGTGACCAAGCCGTCAACGGAAAACGGTCATCACTTTCCCTCCATAAATCTGGAAACCTTGTCCTCTCTGATGCCGGACAGTTTAACGTGTGGTCCACGGAGACTACCTCATCTTCCCCGACACAATTGGTTCTCAATAACGATGGAAATCTAGTACTCTGCGAACTCGATTTAAATGAAAGCAAGATTCTATGGCAGAGCTTTGATTTCCCGTCAAACGCTCTACTACCTGGACAACAACTCACAAGATTCTCAAAGCTTGTCTCTGATAGAAGCAGCACCAACCATTCCTCTGGCTTCTACAAGCTTTCATTCAATGATGACAACATTCTTAGCCTTCTATACGATGGCCCCGACATCTCCAGCAAGTATTGGCCATTCCAATGGCTTGTGAGCTGGGATGCAGGAAGGACTACTTACAATAGTAGGAGAATCGCAGTGTTAGATTCCATTGGAAGGTTCAATTCGACAGATAATTTCGGATTTAAGACTTCCGATTATGGGGCTGTGAAGCAAAGAATACTGAAACTAGATTCTGATGGAAACATAAGAGTTTACAGTCGACAGCAAAATGATGATTGGGAGGTGACGTGGCAAGCCATATCTGATAATTGCATTGTGCATGGGATTTGTGGTGCGAACAGCAGGTGCATGTATGATCCTAGAGAAGGAAGGAAGTGCTCGTGTCTTCCTGGATATAAAATGAAGAACCATAGCGATTGGTCTTTGGGATGTGAACCCAAATTTCAACTTTCATGCGATAAAAATGAGTCTACCTTCATGAAATTGCCAGATGTTGAGCTATATGGGTATGACTATTTTTATAAGGAAAACTACAGTTATAGTGATTGTGAGAATGAATGCTTACATGACTGTGAGTGCAAGGCATTTCAGTACTCATTTAACAATAATAATGGTTTATTTGAATGCTATGTGAAAAGAGTTCTGCTCAATGGTCGTCGAACGCCAAGCTTCAGGGGAACAACCTACTTGAGGCTGCCCAAGACTAAAAGCGATGATGTTATGTTCTTGACAGATGAAGAATCTGCTCAAGAAAATAGTGATGTCTGTTCAGTGAAACTCGAAAGAGCATATTCCAAGAGAAAGGCCAGCAGCTTTCTGAAGTTCTTTCTTTGTCTTTCCGTTGCAATTGGGGCGTTTGAAGTCCTCTTCATTTCTATAACTTGGTTTTCTTTGATGAGAACCAAACAAAAGTCTGATGTAAATCAACAAAGGTACAATTTTCTTTCACCTTTTGGGTTCAGAAAATACACTTACTCCGAGCTAAACCAAGCAACGAAAGGGTTCACAGAAGAAATCGGAAGAGGAGCAGGTGGAATAGTGTACAAAGGAGTATTGTCAGATCAGCGAATTGCGGCAATAAAGAAGCTCAATAATGACAACATTGGAGCCAAACGAGATGAAGCAGAATTCCTAGCTGAATTGAGCATCATCGGTAGGCTCAACCACATGAATTTGATCGAAATGTGGGGGTATTGTGCCGAGCGAAAGCATAGGCTGTTAGTGTACGAGTTCATGGAAAATGGTTCTTTAGCAGAAAATCTCAAATCAAACACTTTGGATTGGACCAAAAGATTCAACATCGCTCTTCAAACAGCAAGGGTTCTAGCATACTTGCACGAAGAATGCTTGGAGTGGATTCTGCATTGTGACATAAAGCCCCAAAATATTCTTTTAGACGAAAATTACCAACCCAAGGTAGCAGATTTTGGCCTGTCCAAGCTTCTAAATCGAAGTGACCAAAACGCTCCAAGCTTCTCAATGATAAGAGGAACAAGGGGATATATGGCGCCAGAATGGCTTTTCAACCAGCCAATAACATCAAAAGTGGATGTCTATAGCTATGGGATTGTTGTGTTGGAGATGATAACAGGAAGGAGTCCGACAATGATGGGAATTCAGAGTGATGAAGGAGAAGAGGCACAGAATGGAAGGCTCGTGACATGGGTGAGGGAGAAGATGAAGGGAACAACGTCAGAGGGAGGGTCGTCGTCGTCGTCGCCGCCAGCATGTTGGGTAGAACAAATAATTGATCCTATGATTGGACCGGAAGTTGAGGGTAATATGCAAAAGATAGAAACTTTGGCAAATGTTGCTTTAAAGTGCGTTGAGGAAGAAAAGATGAAAGGCCCAGCATGAGCCAAGTTGTAGAAATGCTTCAAAGCCATGAAGATGATGCTTCTTAGTCATATGCAATTATGCATAGCGTCTTAAAAGTTTACAATCAGTTTCGTCCATGATGTTGATTGCGTAATTTCCAGTGAAATATGTGAGCAGGATGTCTAGCTAGGTCTGAGACTAAGCCGATCTTGTATTAATTTAACTGTGTTTGTAATGATACAGAATTACTTCCTTTCTTTTCCTTCTTGTTTTTCGGTCTGATCGTAGATGGGCATTACACACCTTTTTGGATTTTGATGACAGAAGTTAGTCATTTTCTTTAAAAATAATGTTTGTTGCTCACTAATAAGGTGGGTTTAACAGAAAGACTAGTGTCTTATAACAAGACGAACTATGATTTGAATTCCCGCTAAAAGAGGTATCTATATTTAGTATTTGATGGTGACATGAACAAGATTGCTTTTAATAGGAGGATATCTATACATAGGAAAAAAAGTATAAGTTACTCTGGTTCTTTTTTTCTACCCTCGTTATCCTAACAAACAGAAAATAAATTTTTAATGAAAACAAATTTGATGCTACTTTTTTATATCAGCGGTAAGCACAACTGGTGTTAAAATTACTTCATACACAAGTTCTCTTTGAAATTTGGTGTAGAAAACAAAGAAAATAATTTAAATAATTAGTTAGACTAATTATCGTTTTAACGAGTGGAAAAAGTAGTCTGGCTAATACAAAAAGTTGTAAAAAGTGTTTTTAACGGTTACTGTTAATAAAACTAGCATAGAACGTCAACAATCTCATATTTTATTTATAAAAAGTGTAAACGTAGCTCCTGCGATCAATGAAATTTAACCTTTACAATATCCAATTGGTGCTTGCATGCCATTTCACATGCTTTTTAATTTATTCATGAAGGAAGCATATAGCAAAATGACCTGTTTTTAATTAGTCTTGACTTTCCTAAATAGAGTATTTTAAGAATCACATCAAAATGTATTATTGAAGCATATCAAACCATGATGATCTCGCTTTAAATTTCTATTGGCGTTAATTAAATCTTGTCTAAAACTTATGTTCTTATTGATTATATAACAAAGAAAAAACCATCTCATCAAAGAGACGGACAAAAATATATTGTTAACTCTAACAGGATTGAGTCTAGTAAAAGTGACTGGTCTTTTATAATTTAGTGAACCAGGATTCGAATTCTCACATGGAAAGAAACTCATATTTAGTATCAGATAGTATCTCGAATGAGGCTGTCTCAAATAAGAGGATTCCTGTGTTAGTAACTTAAGATCTCGTGGTTAAGCAGTCAAATCTTCTTTCATAATCACCAACGCGGCAATGCTTATTGTTGTTGGTGTGTAAAGAATATTAATAATGAATATAATATTTGCAATTATTGGTTAAAATTCAAAGAATTTTATATCTTGTCGTTTTTTTTTTTTTTTGGCCATCGTCATCTAAATTATACAACTTGCAAATTGAATGTTTACTTTAAATAAATAATTTAGTAATTAAAATGAGAAGTATACAACCTAGCTTCTATAAAATTATAAATAGAAAAGATATTCTTATACGTGAATAAGACAGCTCAGTTTCGTGTGGAATGATTGATTTGTTTTAAGAATGAGCAAACGCTATAAAGTCAAATAATATCAAACAATTATGAGGCGTATGCCCCTGAGCTTTGCGAGTTGTACGACTACGACATGCCGATAAAAAAAAATAATTATAGGGAAATCCAAAGGGTTTATTTTCGTTCTTAATTTTTTTCTCAAATAATAGAAGTTCTATCTCTTCTTTATAATCAACTGACACGTTGTCCAACAAAATGTACAAAAGTTTATCTTCATCAGCACAATCTATCATTATTTTTTTAAACATCAACTTGAGGATAATAACAAAATTTAGGATGCTCTTAGGACCAATAAAACACATTTTCTTGGGTTGGCTAAAAAAATAAAACACATGTTCTTGGAAATATAGACATCAAACCTCTTTTTATCACAAAGATCCACTGTATGGGTTCTCGCCTGCACTTTCACAAGCCACAAACATTCCCACACAACCCTATGCATATTGGTCTCAAATATCAAATATCCGGTCTTCACATGAAAATAGCTTTTTTAATAAAAGAGAATATATATATATATATATATATAGAGAGAGAGAGAGAGAGAGAAGGCTATGGAACATTGTCATGTGTAGTCTGCAGTGATGCCTCCTTTCATTCATAGATATCATAGATACAAATACATACATCTGTGTTCACACTATTCAATGACTATGGCGCAATGGAGAAAGGCCCCAAAAAAATCTCCAGAAATAAAAACATAAATACAAAGTGTTTGCCCTAATCTTACACCAAAACATAGAATATTGAGAATGAAGAACAGGAGAATATGGATATTTGTATCTATGATTTTACACAGAAAGGAAGCAGTTTCACACAGTATTAGCTAGCTGTGTTCAATTTGCAGAAGTTAAATCCCAATGAACAGTACTAGTGTTGGCTTGTTTAGTAGCATTATGTTGCCTTTCATCAAAGGAAGTTTCATCATCATCATCATCATGACCTCCCCCTGCGTTAGAATCATTAATGTCTGTCCCAAGGAAGCTAAGGGCACTCACTACGTCTCTCATTAATGGTCGCGCGACAGCTTCCTCATTCAGGCACATGGCTGCCATTGCCACCGCTTGGTTCAGTGATTTTAAAGGGAAGTTTCCTTTTAGAAGAGGATCTGCTAGCTCTGGATGTCTATGAGGGTCCTTGAATATTGGTTGTGCCTGATTGGGATCAAAACAGAAGAGTTCAATTATCATCAATAATACAAATCAAAACAAATAGACAGGTGATCTGTCACAGAAAAATCTGTCACAATTGATAGGATTTTTTTACGAAGAGTTGGTAGTATGGAATGCTAAGTTTATATGTGATGCTTAAGTGAGTATTTAAGATTCTTCCATTTTAACAGCTAACTTTTCGGGTAAGGTTCCCTTTTCTATCCGCTTAGGTATCCATCAAGCTTTTTTTAATTAGAATCCAGCAAAAGGCAAAATTATTAGCTTCTGATAAAGCTACTTAATTAATGTTTTGCTGCTGCATGCACAAACTAATATTTCAATGTCTGTCCACGAATAATTAACTTGGTCTAGCTGCCATCAATCTGATAACCTTGTGTGCAGGCGTATTAAAACATAAGATGATTTAAATTTAAAAAAACATATGACTACCGAAGATTTCTGCTGAGTGCTTATATTAGGTTGTAAAATGGCAGGATCAAGAGGAAATGAGGGAAATACTGGACTCACCCAAGTAACAAGGTTCTGCTCCCGTGTGGATCTTGTAGTGTCAATGACTCTTTTTCCAGTGATCAATTCGAGCAACACGACTCCAAAACTATAAATGTCTGATTTTACAGTAAGTTGACCCGTTCGTTGATATTCAGGAGCACAATATCCATAAGTTCCCATTACTCTGGAAGAAACATGAGACTTGTCTCCCATAGGTCCAAGCTTGGCTAGTCCAAAATCTGAGAGTTTTGCATTGAAATCCTGGTCTAGCAATATGTTAGCTGCTTTCAAGTCCCTATAGATCACAGGTGGATTTGCCTTATCATGCAAATATTCTAAACCTTTTGCTGCTCCCAATGCTATTTTCATCCTCATATTCCAATCCAGTGGCTTTTGATCAGAAGATACATCTGCAAATTCATCAGTTCACCACATTGGAAATGGATCAGAGCTCCTTTTTTTTGTTTTTTTTTTGGGTTCAAACTCTGAAAAAAAATGACAAGTTTATGGAGAATTATGATACCAAGAAGATGATCCTCTACAGATCCACATGGCATGTATTCGTATACCAAAAGTCTCTGATCTCCATCAGCACAATAGCCAACTAGATTCACTAGATTTTCATGATGTAAGAGGCTCAACATCAATACTTCAACAAGGAACTCTCTATTCCCTTGAAACCCATTCCTGTCAAGTTGTTTCACTGCTACATCCTATAAAGATAAATTAAATCAGCACCTTCAAAATTTTGCAATTAAGAAGAATAAAAGCTTAATAAGAGGGTTCATAATAGAAACCCATGGTAATATATGTTGTTGGATTTTTACCTGGTGGATTGTTTCAATTCTGCCTTTATAAACCCTTCCGAATCCACCTTCACCAATTAGGGTTTCTTGCCGGAAGTTCTTTGTTGCCATTGCCAGATCCCGGAAGGTGAAGTTCTGTGAAGCAATGTTATTGCCGCCAATGTCTGTGTTGGCGTCCTTATTTTTTTCAGGCTCTGTCGACTGTGAAGTGGGCTTTGGATTAGGGTTATGAGTTGCTGCACAAAGCAAATGTTCAAACACTAATTAATGCAACACAGTTAAACAACAACACCGTCATTACATAGAAAGAATTGTGTATAATATAAATAAAATATATATATATATATATATAGAGAGAGAGAGAGAGAGAGAGAGAGAAATGCATGGTGTTACCATGGCGTGGCTGCGAAGAGGCTTCTAATGGGGCAGAAGTTGCCAATAGAGGCGACTCTATATTCTTTCCATGGTGGGATTTCTTTGACGATTTCTTTTCTGTGTGTGAAGAAAAACATCCGAAGCAACTCATTTGTGCGTTGAATTTAATGAGGTTTTCTTCAAACTGAAAGCCTAATTATTCTCTGCAAAAATGTTAATATATATAATATATCATTCAATCAATTCCTAGCCAGAAATCCCTTATGTGTTCCAGATTGCATCCAAATCTCCTAGACCTATACACAAAGGAGGGAAACAAATTGAAGTTATCCGATCGAGTTAATCATTCACATATGCCAATTCATCAACAGTTTTGAAGAAGGCAATCACATATGTTGATTTGAAATTCTAAATAATTACTGTACAGATAATGAAACCTTAATTCAAGAGGACCGCCAGATTGATGAAGATGAAATTAAAAGTAAAGCCACCAAAACCTTGCCAGTTAGATGCTGTTAATTAACTTGCCATATAGTATCTGGGATGATTTGACTGACCCAACACAAAATTAAAACTTGGCAAAAAGAAGGATGGATACGTAATTAGATGAGAAGTTGTGTGTGTTGGGTCAGTCAAAGGAACAAAAATGGGTGACACCTTTTTTTATACGAGGTTTCCGAAAAATTCGCAGAGGAAAATGACCGAGGTTTCGATCACAGTTCAAAACCAGCCCATCGCATATAAGAAATCTGATCTTGTGCAGATTTTTAGGGATGTGCAAGTGTACACATCTGATTTGGACTGTCCAAAACTCCCACAAAAAAAAATAAGATTTGAACACTTCAGAAGTTGTAAAATAAAAAAAATATTAAAATGAAAAATTATTGAAATTTAGATTGTCCAAGTCAGATACGTTCCCTGCATATCTCTGAAAATATGTGGAGGATCCATGTTGCCATCTTGAGCATGACAGAGAAGCGACAGAAAAGCTAAACCAATTCAGACCAATTTGTGGAGTATAAGTTATCATGCTGTTTAACAGGACAAATTATTTTAGAATGTTATGAGACAAAGGTGGACACAAAACAGATAATTTTGCCGTTGCTTAGTCATAATATACCTACTAATACAGGTTGGCCAAAAAAAAAACAAGACTTACTCCTCTAGTCCTTAACGCAGAACGTAATTTGAGAGTTCATGTTGACTCTACATGTAATACCTATTATATATATATATATATATATATATATCAATTTTTTATCAAATTAACACTATTAATATTCCCTTAACAATAACCAAGTAAGAGAAAGAGAAAAAATTAAGAAAGATAATTAGGATGTTTTAAAAAAAATTATATTAACTATTTAACTAACATTCTTAATTTACTTAAATTAGTTAATTAGGTTTTGCGTTAAGGGCCGGAGAAGTATAATAGAATACTGAAAATAAGGATATAAGTAAGACCTTTTTGGGAACTCGACCAGTTAAATATCAAAGGTAAGAGTAAGCGTTCTTGTCATGGCTTATAACCCTCAATATTTGATCAATATGTTTAATTTGTAGGACCCGAAGCATACTCTGTTGAGAGCAAAGACTAATCTCCTTTAGATATGAAAGGCAAAAGATAGACCCCATTTTTAAAAAAATAAAATTAAATGGCCAGATTAAATTATACGTAGTTTAAGTCGTTAAAGCTTTTGGAACAATTTGAACCCTCTGGCCTTTATTTAAAGAACTAGACGCTGAATATGGATATCCATATTTCAGGCACACAAAAAAAAAAGATATGGATATTCATACTTTTTAAATTATATTAATTTAATTAAAACTAATTCTCATAGCAGGAAATGTTAGAAACTTCTCATAACTCGAATAAGTCAGGGATGGCCCTTCCATTTCGTATCAAGTCAAAGAAGAGCTTTTCTGATATAGAAAGCGTCAACCAATTTCTCCAAATGAAAAAAGGTACGGTCTCTTGAAGATTTTGAGCGCGCTCCTTTAAAAGCCTTATATTTGGGAATGCTGACTCTCACCAAACAGACATGAACCTTTCAGTTGAATACATTGTTTTATTTTTTTTAAAAAAATTAAATTATGAAGAGAAAAATGACTTCGATCACCTTGATGTTTTAAAAAAATAAGAGGAAGTGATGAAGAGATAGCATCTAGACACATATATACAGTGAAAGTTCTAATTGTCCCTAGCTTCTGATTGATGCTTATAAAAATGTTTACAAATCTTTTGTTTTCTTTTTATTTCTTAAACTTTTATTCCCTTTAAGAAATAATTATTGGCCTGGGCACAATCTTTGTTAGTTCAACCTTGGTCTGTGTCTAGCTTGTATCCTATAGTACTGCAACACAGGAGAGGTAAAAGTAAAACAATAATTGTCAAAATTAATGGGCCCATTTGTAACTTTTTTAAACCCCCTAATTATAAGTTACCCAATCAAAAGATATAAATAGGGATTATGAGTTTTCTGAAATGACCTAGTGAATAAGTGAATCTAAACTCAACAAAGAAGGGGCAAGAAACTTATATATGAACTGGTTAAGCCTCCCTTCAATTAAATTAATTTTATACCTGAAGAATATAAAAATATTAGTCGAAACTGAAAGCACGTGATCTTTATTCAGAGATTAAATAAATGCAATCATGCCTTGCATCCTAAACAAAGTTTTTAAAACCGAATGTAAACATTTGCTTGAAGTTTGTTGTTAGTTTGACTCCGCTATATGGTTATAAGGACCATAATTAAATTACTACTATACTTTTATTGTATTTATAATTTAATAAAAAAATTGAAATTTGCTCATCTTTTAATCAGTTTTAATTAATTTGTTGACCAACTTTATTTTTGTAAAAATTGTTTTCGAACTAATAATTAAATTGCTATTGAAAACATTTTGAATAGAATTTGTCAATGTTATGTGATCACAACTTTAAAGAGAGAATCCATCTCAAAAAATTAGTCTAACCTATTAGGTGAGAGGGTTTTTTAAACTTATAAATCACACTCCAGTTATGAGGCTCTCGTTGGTCGATTTATCTATCAAACTAGACTAGCTCATATCATTTTTTTAATACTAATACCAAATAGGAAAACCATATAATTAATACCAGCCATTGGTACCCAGATGATATAATAATGACTTACTACTGTTTCTAAATGTCCGTTTGAAATAGTTTATAAACAGCTTTTTAATCATGATTTATGAAATACGAGATAAATATATGAGAATAATTTTGTCTCAATTTACATAAAATATGCTAATAAGTTTTTTCAAACAGAGCCCAAAATGGTTTGACACTTTATGCAAAGCTAACGAATCTGTGCTTAGAAATGAAGACTGGTTGAGATTTGGTCATCTCTAAATGTTTGCAATAATTATGCCCCGGAAAATGCGAATAAGCCCCACGTCCGGGTTTATGTATTAGAAAACGACACAAGTCAAAAGTTGCAGCTTTACAAAAAGGCAATTTTGAATGCAAAACAGTCATGCTTTTCCTTTTCCTTCAGAAAAGATGTCACTAGTTATTATATTTATTTATATATTATATATGATTTTCATGCCAGGTGTGGTCACACAATTTTTGGGATTTGTGAGGACCACCAAATCAATTTGAAAGGGCATCGATTCATTCATTCAAATATATATATATATATAAAGATATATAAGATGATAGGTTTGCATATTTGTAGAAATAATTTAGTTTTATTTATTTATGTCTATAAAGTAACTATATATCTAAAATTTTCTCCCTAATGTAATCATTTGACTCAATACCGCATTCAACGAGTCAATTGTGGTAGTTTAACTGCAATTTCAAGAAACTGAAATATCGTAAATTTTGAATTTGACAAAAAAAGAATGCATTAATCTTCTTCTCAATCAAAGGTGTTTCGCTATGGATATATGATGAGTAAAATACTGCATGTGTTTATTATTTTATTAGTAGAAAATATCAAATATTTTTACAAAAAAACTAAAATATTTACAGCTCGGTGTGAATGAAGAAATTTTAAAAGGAAAGAAAGGTTTTAAAAAAAAGCAGAGAGAGAGAAGGAGGAAGAGGGTAATCAAAGAAAGAGAAAGGGTCATCATAAAATATTAATCCCTTGTAAAACCATTAGGAGGTTCTCTGGTAAAGAGAAAGAAACAGACTGGTGAAGCTTCTAATTCTATATAGGATAGGTTTCCCAGCTCTCTTTTTTCTCTCTTCAATATTAAACCTTTTTGTCAATTAAAAAATAAAATCATTGTGTAGATAGATATGGTAAAGTGATTTTGTTTTGTAATTGAAAAGATATATATTTGTGTGCGCAGCTGATTTAAGAATAGGAAATGATACTGTTATAATTATCAAATCATGGGCTCACTCATTACCTTTGGTTGGTGTCAGCTTTCTCGAGAAATGTGATTTGAGAAGACAAAAGCAAAGTCCCAAAGGAGCATTCAAATAATTTTGGTCAGGCAAAACAAAAGGTCGCAAGTCCTCTCACTGTTTCTGTGTCACAGATCTGACACCACTGCTTAATTTCTTTCATTTATCAGATTCCCTTCTTATCTTACCTTCCTCTTAATTTTCTCTTCTTCTTCCTCCGCTTTCTGCAACTTCTCTATTTAGCTTCCCAATCCAATGCAGTGAAAGTTGAAATATGATTAATTATGACTATCTTCTTCTATGTTACTGTTTCTCTCCTACTTCCCCCCATTCTTTTTTTTTTTTTCCTAGTTTGTTTTTCCTCAGAACTGCAATAAGTTCTGATGTCGGTTTTCTTTTCCCTCTGACCAAACTAAATTCCTTTCAGCTGATGAAAGAAATTAATTCCTTTCCATTTCCCTACTTTTATTTACTCTCGTGTTCTGCAAAGATTCCAGTTTAGGTGGCACTTTTAATTTGTCTGAGGGATAGAGTCTCCTATACCAACGCACTTTCACGCAGAAGACATTAATGGGCTTAAAGAAGAAAGAAGATATGGAAGATCAGAACGGAAAAAGTAAAAGTTAAAGAAAATTTGTATCCAGATTGATCAGATATTATTTAAGGAAAAGAAAGGATCTATCACCATTTTCAAAAAAGCATACAAAATATGTGTGTGTGTAACATATATACCATATAGCAACATATTTGAGATATCTTTCCCGTTTGTGACACAAACTAGAGGCAAATAATCAAGTGGAATACATAATAAAACTAATAAACTGCACATAGATCGAGGGGAATTAGATCGACGCGTTTAGATTCTTATGCCACCAACACCACATATATATATATATATATATATATATTATCGCAGTCTATATATCAAATAAAATAGGAGGGTACATACAAACATAAACAGAAAAATTATAGTGTCTCTCGCTATACATTTCCAGCCCAAAAGCAAAAAAAAAAGAAAAGGAAAAAGATATAAAGCAAAAGTGGAGCTAGCTAGTTATGATGATGAGGATGATAACAACTAGACTATTATAACAAGCCTCTCACAGAAATAAATATTCATGGCGATCGAACTGGGTAGCAAGATCTATAAAAGGATTATGACAATTACAATACGACGTCGCCGTTATAAATCTCCATTTCATAATCTTCAACTAGAAGCAAGCTAGCTAGGCTGCTTCATAGGATCGTATAACTTTCGGATGACTTACCGATTTGAAATAGGGTTTGGACCACTTGGAACTTCATGAGCGTCAGCTCCAAATTCTCGACCTTTCGCTGAAGCATGCGAATTATGGGTGTTTTGAGGGTTTAAATTTGCGGTAGACTCTGAGGAAAGTGATGATTTGGCCGAGGTTGGTTCAGAGGTAGCCATGGAAGGTGATTTTGGAGAAGGGTTTAACTGGTTATGGGATAGGTTGATGAGAAGGACGAGAACGAAGAGGAATGAGAGGAATTGCAGCAAGCTAGGGAGAGATTTTGGAGAGAAATTTTGTGCAGAAGAAGAAGATGAAGATTCAGGTTCAGCCATGCAATTTGAGAGAAGAAAACACCACCCCCCAAGAGCCCACAAGAGATCAATATCCATGAACCTGCAGGAAGGACCCAATAAGGAAGGAGACAGAGAGAGAAAGAGAGAGAAGGAAGAGAGGGGATGAGAAGCTTCAGCAAAAGTGATTGGAAAGTAGGGTTTTAAATTGGGAGAGAAAACCAAACCAACTTCACATGCAAGTTCTATGTGAAAGATTTTATTGTGTGGCCTGGGATCATTGGATTTACCAAAAAGCCCTCGCTAGTTACTGTGGAGAGGTAAATTAAGTGACAGATAAAAAGAATCATTTATACACTTCACATGAGTTGAAATGGGAGAAAAGCATTATAAGATGTGAGATCTATTAATTAGTGTCATTTTACTCCAAGGATCTGATTCAATAGGAGACATATGTCTTTCTTACTAAATTTATTCTTTTATTTACAGAAGATGTATATATGATATTGATTGTTAATTTTTTATTACAATAAGGAATGTTATCAAATTATTTTTTAAGTAATCTTGAAGACAATTTTTCTCACCACATACATGCATGTAAGATTTTATTCTTAGGATATGATGACTTGACGTGTTTCGCCAGCTGTATATTGTGAGTGGTTTGAAGAATAAATTACATTGGTTTGAGATTGGTGCAATTTATTATAAATTTCATCTTTTAATTAAGATTTAAAAAAACGAGATCTCAATTGTTGCGGAGATTATTTACTTCAATTCTATTGACAGAGCTAGCTTTTAGGGAGTTAGACATAAATTTTTAAGGAGTTTAGCCTACCGAATAATTGTTCAACAGCATTATTGTTCTTGAAAATAAAACACCAATATATGACGTAGGAACAATTCTAATTAATTATTAAATATACTAACAGTATCAGAGATATCATTGTCCTCTAATTACTCAGATAAATTTCTTGACTTCAGAGAATTCAAAGATTAATAAATAAACACACAATTGCTTTGCTTTATCATTATAGTATTTATTCAATGATAAGGAGAAATTTCCACTGATTGATCAAAAAGAGAACAAGGAGGTCATATCGTGAAGCATTAAATTAAAATGGCACCATTAATTAATTTTTTGAAAGAAATATATATATATTATAATAAAGAATCTTCAAAGGTACAGCCATATTGGCTTGACGAAAAGAAGCTGATGGGGTGGTGAAAGGATGGTGTGTTTGCTTTTTCTAGTTTGGCTGCTTCCTCAAGAAATCTTTGTTTTTTTGACTATGAGAACCCTAAAATAAGAATATATATCGATGTTGTTCCTTGATACTTTGGATTTCTTAACCTTTCCTTCCTCCGCACAAAGTTCTAAAAAACCCTTTTCTTTGGAGCATTGCATGCTCTTTTGCTTAATCATTTTATCATAATTAAGAAATAGTAGTTAACTCATTAAATTTGTCATAAAATATAAAAAAATTCAACTTACCCCTATTTAAAAAAACACAACATTCGGGGAGTCACGCATGGAGAAACTGAACTAGAACTAAAATTCTCCTTTTAGCAATTTATAACAAAAAATTAAAAATTATGGATTGATTTTGGAACGTAGTTTATAATAAGAAATAGAAAGAGTAAGCCACAGGGCATGCATGCGACACACTATTAATGGAAGACAACGGTATGAAAGGAATTCAATTTGCTTTGGAGAACAAAGCAGTGATATTCCCACAAAAGTAATGGTAATAGTAATTTGCTTTACCTTTAAGACTCGAATATAATATATTTTTTTTCCAGACCTCATTCCATCGCAATTGTTCTTTTTGTTTTTTTATATATTTTCCTTAGCTTCACCATACGAAAATGAAAGGCGGAGAGAAATTATTCCACAATATATTGGGCTACGTTGAAAATATTTCGATGATTAATCTGTTTATATATATATTCAAGAGCATAAATTGACCATTGGCAAATAAAAATTTGCATCCATCTGAAACTCAGAAAAGATTATTTTAATTTTTTTATTTCTGAAAAATTAATCTTACAGATATAATATAATTATGTAAATAATAAATAATTTTTCACATCCCATTTCGACAATCTAAATTTTGTTTTGATAATGAAAATACTAATATTCCAAATATATTAGTTGAAATTTAATTTAGTTTACATGATTTTTTTAAAACATCGGAAATGAAATAAGAAAAAATTTGAAATGTCCTTATCTCATTTAGATTCTTTTTGGTGAATTTTTTGTCTCGTCATGGAGAATCAAGAGAAAAGGAACTTTATTCTTTTTTTAAGTTTTTTGGTCTCATCATATTTTTTTTCCTTTGGGGATAAAGACAGGGAAGGCAGATTAATTAGCTAGTTTTAAATGTACAGGAAAAAAGAAATAATTTCATGCAAAAGCACAAACGATTCCAAAAAGGGTGTGCTTGTTTGAACTTTGATGCATGGATTTCTGTATATTGCAGCAATTTTTGAACAACATCACATTTTCTGAAATCCAAGCTATAGTCATAGCTGCAAATGCCTAAAAAGAGAGTAGCCAAAAATCACAATTCTATGTGGCCTAGTGGCATGGATATTCCTCTGTAAACAGTAAGTCATTTACTTCTATTTGTAAGTTCAAACCGTTAGTATCTATTCTTTTAATTCAAAAAACTTCAGTAGTTCTATTTTATATATCAAATTAATGAAGAATATATATATTATTACCCTTCATTATATTGTTCAAGCTCATATATATATATATATATATATAGTGACGTGTAGGTGATAAAATGAAGAGAGGAAGAGGCCAAAGGAGAAGACATATATGTCTGCCATGAAGGGGGAGAGTGGGTCCTCACAAGGTGTGATTGTGAGAGAGCGATAGTACGTTGAGGTGTGTCCACTGATTTCACCATTCATCCACCACTTTTAATGACGCTTTCTTCCCTTTATATGTTTCATAGCTCTTAGGCTTTTCCCCTTTTGCCACCACATTCATTTCTTTCTTTCACTTCCCTTCCCTCTCCCACCACCTAACACGCAAGAAAAGGAGAGAAACTTAAAGCACGTCGTACCTGGAAGTGAAATGTATTTTTCCCATTCCATTCTTTCCTTTGAGTAATATGTTGACAATTACAATGACCCAGAAAGTTGATGTAATGCTATATTGATAAGATATGATGTTTACTTCAAACTTAGTATACTTAATTCTAGCCCAGGTCTTAAATGTAAGAGTTAGTAGCTAACGGGGTCTGCCTTGATTAGAAATATAATATCTCAATTTATTTTGTTTCCTAAATATATAATTTTTTATAATATATCTCTATATTGATTTTATATATTAGGGGGTTTTTTTATTAAAAGATCAGAGTAGTATTCAATACATATGATTCAAAAAAGTGCCACATTGTTTATACATAACTAATATAACGATTTTTACAAATCTCTATAGTTTAACTATATAGCTGCTACAATTCAGAATTGAAGATAAATATTCTTAATAGTATAAGCAGCTTAAGTTATTGCGGTGACCACTCTTGAGAGTGGGAGTAATTAAAGTTTGGATCTAGTGGGGACGTACACTTTTCAAATGGCTAGCTAGATGGACCCATATGTAAAATTTTAGCAATTTTCTGGGAGTGATAATTAATATTAATAGTTCATGAATATTCGGTGAAAAATGTATATAATGTTTGAGTTTGAAGTAAATTAAATTCACAAAGAAAATAAATAAATAATATATATATCTACAAAAATAAACCACTTGGTAAGAAAATGAATAAAATCATGTCAACTGAATCAAATGGACCAAAATCAAAAAACCAAATAGCTCCTTTAGTTTTGCAAAATTGATTAGACAATTCAATCGGTTTGATTATAAATTCTAGTCTAAAATATGCAACGATATATCATAAACATAAGATATAAGGCCTTAATCAAAGGCGACCACATACACACGCATATATATAGAAGAATGCAATAATGGTATTTGACTTTTGACTTTGCTTTCAATTTATAATCTCTTTCTGCGAAGGAGAGTCCAAATCTTTGATTCAGCAGGATTGAAATTAAGTCGTCCTTTATTACCTAACTCTTAGCTACATCTTAATTGAAAAAAAAAAAATAAAGCAGCATTTTCAAACAAATAACGAGTGTGCATGTGTGGAGTCTGATTAATTATGTAAGTATGTGCATAATTGATTTCACATGTATGCGTCATATAAGTTAAAATTATTTATGGATTTAATGAGACTATACCACTTCAGTTCCTATTATAAATCACGTTTTGGAATGAATGAATGAATGGTTCTTATTATAAATCATTAAGTGGAGTATTAATTACGTTTTTCTAATATTACTATTATTTAAAGTTTGAAGTGATTTTTTTTTTTCATTTCTCAATACGTAATTCTTTTCTTTTTTTTTTGTTGCTAGATTCTCAATATGAAATTCATGATTTTAAAAGTGTAAATTTGAAATTTTTTTAATTTTCAGGCAAATTTAATTATTTAACTATCTCTTTTTGATTATAGTATGTCACGCCTGAAACTGGGTTGGTATGAAAGGAGTTCAATTAATTTGAGGATTTTCGAGGCTTGTGCATGCTGGTGCATGTATAAGTAACAGACGACCAAACCAAGTGAATAAGCAGATGAGAGGGGAAAAAAAAAGGTAAAGTAATTAAATATTTAAATTATAAATAAGTCAAATATGCCCATTTAAGAGGAACAAGTAAAGCAGCTTTGTAAAAAGCATGATGTGGCTTCAATTAACATGAGATCTTTCTGATATTAACTGCCCACCAACTTTATTATTATTATTGATCATTATTTTGTTTAGAATTTTTTTTTTCCACTAATCCAGAGCTTTAGTATTAGTAATTTTGCCTTTTTGTTTAATTTATTAAAAAGCAAATAATCATCACTTGTAGCATCATGCTTACGTCACTAAGGAAATCGATAATTAATTATGAGAGTAATAATGGTGGTTTTGTGTTCCATGCAGGTTTTGACCCAAATAAACAGTGAAGTCGTATATATGGG